ACCAAAAGTTCTTACTCGATTGCATCTATTACATTCTGATCTTTTTTTGGTTGACTTGTGGAGAGCACATTAAAATTATCCCCGCACAAAAGATAACAAATTTATATTATTATCGTTTGGGTGCAAATGTGTAAAAGAAATATTTTTGTAACATACACGAGCTTTTCTCTTACGTATTTCGTTCCTTTGTTTTTTGCACTGGCAGATTCCATTTACGCGATTCTCAACGGTACTATATGGAAAACTACTTAAGCTACAAATATGTAAATCGAGGGACGAATGTATTTCACGTCAGTATTAGCTTAATTAGCTGATAATTGTTTCAGACTCATAATGGGCGAAGATTTCTCAAATTCCGAGACGTCACTCTTGTCCCTTACGAACCGAAACTTATCGATATCGATATGTTAACTCCGTTGCACGTAAGTTTCAAATCCTAAAACTATGGAATTTAATTATTAGGATCGCGGAAAATGACGGATTTTTGCAATATTAATATAACTGTATCGCACAGCGGCGTTGGCTAAATAATTACAATAAACGAATACGAGAAGAGGTCGGCGCAGAGTTGAAAAAGAATTTAAAAATGAAAGCATTTTACTGGATGATGGTGAAGACTACGTCCATTCCAGAAACAGGTTCAGGTGGCTACTTTTTCCCTGATTCTCAAGCAACACCATCTACTAGCAGGCAATTCCATGTTTTAGTTCTGATCGTTGCCATTTATCACGTTATAGCAAGTAAGCGATATTCAAACGATCAACGTTCTTGTACGATCAACGTTCTTGTACGCTCTACGCGTCGAGACTAGAATGATTATTTTAATTGCAGATTTCACGACAACGAGCGATTAAACTGGGAAGCACATGACGTTACTCACCGAACATCTTAATATACGTTGTGAGAAACTCTTTCATCACAAAATACCATTTCCAAAGATCGATACAGGGTATCGCGTAATTACATTTAGGCAAGAACATAGAAACAGACTTTAATAAATTATTTTTCTATATACACGTCTGTACTACTTATTCGTTTCTCTATCCTCCTGTTCCTTTTTAACCTTCCTCCTTTTCACCTCTTTTGCGCTTTCGTCATACAATTCTTGAATAGGATCTTCTACTGGCCCTACACTGCCTTGCGAGAGAGTTACGTAAAGTTTAAAATGCTTCAATATATCATCTGGGGGAAAAAAAACGTAAAATCTATAAATGTTAAGTTGCGGATATGAATTCAATGTGAATATGTTAAACCTTGATTTTACTGCAAAACCAAATAGAACTTGCGTACCTACTACTTCCTTATCCATTTTATATTCAGAAGCTATAGTTTCACTACTATATGTTACGGGATCGCTTTTGTGTTGCATAAGAAATGTAAGAGCCTGTTTCAACGAGCACTTCCCAACGGGGATCACTGTAGTTTCATAAGGCTCATACAGAAAGTCAATCTCCGGGTTTTTCCTGCTCTGAGGTAAAGACTTCGATTCTTTAGTTGGCTCATTTACCTCCTACGGAATAACGCAAAACTTAATATATGTGCAATAAGAAAGGCCACTTGTGTTTAATTTAATAGAATCAATGTCTAAGAGTGCAAATTTTAAGTGTCGTACTTGCGGATCCATTGACGTAACGAAAACATCTTTCAATCGTTGATCCAGCTGCACGTTCTTCTTGTAATGACCCTCCATGAAGTGCGGATTTACTGAAGACAGGAAAAGGATTACAAATTGAACAGAATTCAAAGTGCCAACAAAGCAGACGACAGTTTTAAATTATGGCCACATAATTACAATTTGGAATAGACATTAAACTGACAACTCAGTAAATACCTTCGTCCATGAGACGCTTTTGCTTTTCCGTGGCTGCATATTGAGGCGCGGGTTTTGGCTTTTCTTGAGAAATGACTTTCCGCGCCCGATTTTCAATGTTGAACAGGCGAACGGGTCGTGTCAACATTGAGTAAACCCTTGAGTAAACCTTTCCCATTGTTTGAGTGACCTGCCACGAAAGAGACCACTCGTTATCACAATGAGTACTACAGCAACGAATTGTATCGCCTCCAGCACGCGATCGAAATCGAAAATAGCCATTTCACAGGAAAACAATTTAAAACATTTTATATGCCTCGGTGTTCGAATTGGTTGCGACACCCGCCTAGAGTGTAAGAAAGTCCAGGTTCAAACCCTGTCTGAGGTAACATTTGTCGAAATAAGTTTTATGTATTATTAAAGTTGCCAGATACGGTCAATAAAAATGTCTGATGTTGCTTAAACATTTGATCTGCTTGTAGGCAGTACACAACTACAATCACATGGTCTGTTATATGTGTACTTTCATCTTTCTCCGTAATATGAGAATATACCTTTCTTCACTAGTCTTTCTTTGCCATCGCTACTTTGAAATAAAACACAATTTTCGCACTGGTTCTTTTTCGGACTGTAGTTTGTAACGAGACTTGCGATGTTTTTCTGGTTGAAAGTGTATTTTCGAATAAGGAAATTGGGAAAACGCAAAAATTTATATTTTTCATTCGGGTCACTTTTCTTGTGCAAATGTGATACGACGAAACACACGTATTATTATACATTATACGTAATAATATGACATAAGATTACTGTCAATTTCAGCTGTGACATACCTCCTGCAATCAAAGAACGTAAGGATTCGCGTTTCGGTCAGCGTGCTTGGACAATTGTAAAATAACGAGCGATAAAAAAAAACATTTCACACAAGAAGGAATCTTAACCTTTTCGTTCTGACTGCGTTCTGAAATCCATCAAGAAAAGACGTTCCAGGGAGCGTCCGGCCATTCCTGAATTCCAAAACACATCAGAGAAATAACCATTTAGTTTGAGGGTGCCAAAAGTTATGCGGGGTCTACAATGCGAGTCGCAGAGTCGTAGTCGTAAGAATAATCGACTGCAATTGGTCAATTCCGTTAGACACATAAAGCCTCCGCTACAATGATTCTCGGTTCTGTCTACAATGGTCGTAGTTGTAAGAATAATCGACTGCGATTGGTCAATTCTTATCGAGCGACTACGACTACGACCATTGTAGACAGAACCGAGAATCATTGTAGCGGAGGCTTAAAACTTAAAATTTAATGCGTGGTCTACAATGCGAGTCGCAGAGTCGTAAGAATAATTGACTGCGATTGATCAATTTCGTCAGACACATAAGAATTGACCAATCATAGTCGACTATTCTTACGACTACGACTTCACGACTTCTATGTAGACGAGGCTTAAGCCTCCGCTACAATGATTCTCGGTTCTGTCTACAATGGTCGTAGTCGTAAGAATAATCGACTGCGATTGGTCAATTCTTATGCGACTGACT